ATATTCTCATGCATCAAACAGTGAATCAATTCACACTATTTTAAAACAGAATTTTCTTTCTAGTAGCAAGATAACTTGAAATGCGAATGCATCCCTTAGTCAGGCTATATCGGGCGTCCGGCGGTGTTTGCGCGCCGGCAGGTGTTCACTCTCCGCTCTCACTCTTCCTCTCATAGCAACAGCTGCAGGCCTTAGCGCTAATCCTTGCCCCTAGCAACTGAAGAAGGTGGTGCGGGCAGAGTAGCGGAGAGCGAGTGGAAGGAGCACGCTCTGATGTGTGAGAGCGCTCCCTTCGCGGGAGGTGTGGAGGCAGTGCAGGATGGAGTAGGTGCAGTGCTTCATTGTTCCTTCTCTTACCTTTCGCTCTCTCTCTTCTCTGCGTCCTGCTCTCTCGTCCGCTCGCTCATGTGTGTGTGTGTGTGTGTGTGTGTGTGTGTGTGTGTGTGTGTGTGTGTGTGTGTGTATATATATATATATATATATACACATATGGAGTGAAGCAGGCGCCTCACTCTCGACCGTTCGTTGGCTGATGAATGTGTGAAAAATGGTTACAGTACAAATCCTCGCCTCATCATTAATTTACACAATTAAAATTACTATGCCATGTACTCTCGATGAAATGAATGCATTCACATTTCTGCAAGATTCCCTTCAGAAAAATGGGGGGGCAATTTTTTTTTTTATTTTCCATGTCAACATACTTCTGACTTTCGTGCTCTGGTGACGTCACAACTGCCTTGACCGAACCTCGCTTGTCTAAAACCGAAAACGCGCATTCCATGCTGGCAATGTTGAGCATTTGAGCGGAAAGAAAAACAGACGGCAGAATCGATCAGCCCTCCCTAATAATTCTAGGGGTTTAGCATCCCAAAACCACGATAATAAAGGCATCTTCGACTGGCAGCACCGGTGACGTTTTCTGTGAACTCGTGCGGTGTCGTACATTCATCAGGGCACCACGCGTGCAGTGCCGCACGTTTGGCTCGGCCGACCACGACACAAGTGCATGGCCTGTCGAGGTCGACAATGGAACGTGGTTCAATCCCTTCAGCCACATGCACTGGCAGACGATGTGGTGATGTTTTATGATTGCAGGCATAATTTACAGCTGGCGCTGCTGCACAACACGGCTGGACGGGATGAGAAACATGCGTGAGCTTACATCATCTGACCATCCATACTCACACAGGGCTTCTTTTGCTGCCAGAATTCTACTGGAAATCGAAGACGATGTGAAAATTACCATAACCCTTGTTGAGCTAGTACAGAATCGATGCAGCCCCACTGCCTGAAGAAAAGACGTGCACCCACTGGACGCGTAGCGTTTCACTAGTGTATCTCATTGTTTGATTTTCTGTTGTTTATTCTCTTATTACCAGTACAAACAGGACGCTAGAAATTGTCACCTGCTAAATGGCATCTCTCCCATACAGCGCTCCTGTAGAGGATTCGAGTTGTGTGATTCACACGCGTTCGTTTAGCCTGTAGCGAGGTGTGAAGCTCGGGCGGTGTTTGACGTAACTTTTATTTCACCTTCACGGTGCCAGTGCACCTCGACCAAAGATGCATCTATCAGAAAACAAGATAAGTCGGTAAAGAAAACAAGTAAGTCGGTAAAGCAGGGAAAAAGGTAGTGCGCATGTCGCACACCTGCCTGCAGTGCACAATCAGATGCCCTATGAAAGGTGGACGATGACCGAGAAAAGAATGATTGCCACTGCAGCTGAGCTGGTAGATCATCGGACATGTTATTTGAAAGTCACAGGTTCGGTCTCTGCTGGCTTATACTTTTGGTCTAGTTTTGTTTCTTCACGTTTATATTCCAACTACTAGTAGTAACATCCCCCATACTCTTGTTGCCATCGTGGTCTGTTAAACCTGGATATAACGAAATTGATAAATTCCCAGAAAGATTTTTTATAAAGAGGATTTCGTTATATGCAGGTTCGGTACGAAAAATCAGAAAATAAAAGCGCGAATGAAACGAAAGGGGGACTAGAGGCAGAGCTAACCCAAAACACTTATTTTACAGTAAAAACTGTATTAATATCGCAATAGCAATTATATGGACACTGTTGGCTAGTTTTTGCCGTTGCCACCATGTTCCATAACAGGTGCAAATTGAAAACATGCCACCGCGCATCGTAACTTTCACAAGCGAGTAAAAGCATGCAAGCGCTGCTAAAGTAGAGATCAAATAAGTCGGCCCATCCCTATCGTCTGGAAAGTGCATAGGGTAACATCTCTTGCATGTTAGAACTGCCTTCGATTGTTCATACTGAAACTAAGCCACCCATCTTGAATGAGCATGAAACAACGCGGGGAGGGGAATTGCTCAAGCAGCAATAATGAACGATTTCAAGGGCGGTAGCGATCGTTGGTGCACTTGCTATCTCGGCAAGTATCAGTGTGGTTTCAACGCAAAGGGACTGTATGAAAAGAGCAATTCTCCCTGGAGCGGCGGTATTTGCTCACATCAGCATTTTGTAGGAGTTCCGCTATATCGAATCCAAAAGAGTTGGCTGCCAGCCTTACTTCTTATAACATTACGATTTTTCACTATCGCGTTCATTGCATTGCGTTCAATGCGCCGTCAGGTTGCCAGAACTAATCGGCTGATTGTGAGAACTACCAGCCTGCGAACTCGCGGCGTGGCGCAAAATGAAAGCGGGTGATGAGTCGACATCCGAAGATCCGTCGTCATCGTGGTCTCAGAGTTTCCATCAGCGCCTAATCTGACATCTCCTCGGTGTTGAAGACACAGTTGTCCGAAATTAAAGAAAGTCAGAGTTTCGCCACAACGGCGAAGCAATGAATGCGATAACAATCTTGGAACGTAACGATGAGAACGACAAGCAGATTGAAACATGCACGCGCTGCTCCGGCACAAATGATGCAAGAAAACAACATACACAGGACGATATGGAACTAACAACGTTTGCTGCTCGACACTTAATGCACCGGTTAACAAAAATAAGACACGAAACGTAATGACAGGTACAGATATAAGTGCAAACTAATAAGTGCCCCAGTTGTTCCTTCGGTGTGTTTGAAAGGCGCACTCTTTTCTCTAACGGTGCCTGTCCAGCGAGCAAAGTGATCTTCGTGTGCCCGGAAACTAAATGCAATCGTTCCCCGGTCAAAGTAGAAGGCACACGATTTTCCCCACCAAAGGATAAGCATGCGCGCACAAGCATCTGACCCCCCCATTCCCGGGGCAAAGTACACATGGGAAATAAGCGCACGTCGGTGCATCATGACACGCTGGGCGCCGAGCACAGGCAGCTTTTTTTTTTCTTTTCCTTGAGTTTTAATGTACATAGATAGGTGAATGACGACGGCGGAGGTGAAAAGCCAGCCGAGACTGTCCATATACATAATTGCTGTCGCAATAATAAAAAGAAAAGCTGAACGTCGTCCGGGGCCACAATATGCGCACACAGTGAAACTATGCCCGCGCGCATGGCGTTGAAAAGAAAGAGCGAACGACACGAACACAAATACCACGAAAAGCTAATTGGTAAAGGCCTTCCATATGCAGCCTGGCCCCATATATGTGACGCCAACTATAAGCGTGGCACTGCCAACGTGCAAAAATAGTTCTTGTTTTTTATGTTGGTGTGAAGTGGGGGAGGGGGGGGGGGGTGCGTGGGACACATTTGCGCATACGAGCGCGGCAGCGAGAACAGCGGCAAAGCTGGCTCATGGGGTGCAGGCCTTCCGGATGCAGCCTATGTGCCCGTTGCCGCTGCATCGTGCTTTGGCGGTGGCGGGGCAGCCGTGGAAGATGCATGCTTGTACCAAAATGCCAAAATGTAGAGCGAAATTCCTCGACTGTTTGTGGAGAAAATTCGTTATATCAAGGTTGTCTCCCACTGCTCCTCTGTTACATAGAGGTGGCAAAACATGTGCTTCTATGGAGCGATCATGGGGAATAAAAAACTTCGTTATATTGAAGAATTCGTTATACGGAGGTTCGTTATAAGCAGGATTAACAGTAGTTGTAATTGAAATTGTGGCCAATTTACACTTGATATAAACTGATTTTACATGTTTTCTTGTGATACAAAATCCGTCTTTCCTCTTTGTTGTGCTGGCCTCTGCCATTTTAGTAGGGTTTTTGTGGAGTTTTAACTTGCTTTTACTGGAATGAAGGCCGAGACCTGAAGACGTTTCGGGACATTTTCACTACAGGAAGGGTGCATGCGCCTTGGCATCATGGAAAACAAGATTGGGATGACACTGATACTTTTTGTTACCTTGCGAGATTCGCATCCCCAAGATTTTTCTGTGTCAAGCTGTATGACATATTGAACTCATTGCCCTATTTTTGTGAGCTTGGTATGTGGTGTTTCGACAGTCAACGTTTTAGAGAAATTTCAATTGTTGAACTCTAATCCTATCAAGTAGGCCTCAAACAACAACTTTTTACTATCACATGCACACACTAACTATGGCAAACATATTACCATGTTTGCAGCTATCCAATTTTGGAATTCAGTACCACTAAGCACTAAATAATTGTCATAGCTGCTTTTAAAAAAGAGCTTAAACTTCTTATCTCACAATCATAACTCATCTTCATTTTTATATCGGCGTTCGCTTACATTTACAGCTATTACTGTTTGCGTTATTTTCACATTTATTACTCATGCACATTAGAGTTGTTTTAATAGCTGTATATCACTAATTAACGTCATTTCGTTCCCGATTCTACTGCCTTTCTTACTGTATGTTTCATTGTTTTCATCGTTATACACAATTACTGAACATTGTTTTATTGCATAATTGAAATGTTTTTATTACTATCAATAATTACTTCATCGCTTTTTTTGTTGCCATTTTGTTGTACTTATTAACATGTCATTTTCTAACAGGAGCTCCCCTTTCAGCCTTGTGCTATGGGAGCTTTTTCTGGATATACTAACCCCAATGCGTGTATATTTTTTGTGACAAATAAAGATTTTTGATTTGATTTGATTTGAAAGTGTACTTACTCGAAATGCATTTCTTTTGTCATGCATCGGAGATGCTCCGCTGGCTGCGTAGAGACGTGGTAGAAATTTATGTAGTGTCCAACTGTGTGCACCACTGAAATGAATACTTATGTTCAGAACAGAAAGTCAAGGGAATCGCAACATAGCATTCTAACTATAGGACCCACATTGAAGCTATAGCTCCAAAGTGAATCGGCAACGTAAGTGAATCAGGTAAGATTTACGTAGAGGTACATGACAACCACAGCTACTGCAGAGCCTGCATGTCCAGTCGATCTAGGTGACGTTTAGGTTAAAGATGTCCATGTCAACATCATGTCGAACTACAGACTTGCCTATGGGCCTAGTGCGCTCCAGCTTTGACTGAACAAGTGGCACCGCCCATGGCGTGGCGCCCTAGTAATCAGTCGTGATTGAGAGAGGCTGCATGCGTAGGGAAGGAAGCACGGAATCTTGAAAGGACGAAGCGAATTCATGGCCAAACAGCAGCGTAACTAGCTAATTGCTGCATGTATGGTGGTCACAACAGGTACAAAACATTGTCGGGAAGCCATCAAAAATAAAATTATGTTGATATGTGTGAAAGGATCACAAGGACGAACGATGATAGTGCTAGAAAACGGTGGTATAACATGTAAGATAAATACGCGCTCCTCAATTTTTAAAATGATTTCTTTGTTATTATTGCACGTATTTGCACATCGTGGTCATAAACATGGCCCTTTGATAGCCCCTTCAATGGAGCACATCGGCAGCGTGTGAAGCACTGAAACCACACGTGCAGTGCCCACTTGTTTGACTACGAAAGATGTTTGATAGCCAAGCACTCCACCTGTATGTTCCGACACTTTTGCCTGCATACTATGGAAAAGGCTACAGCATGAACCATCAAGGAAGCGTTAAAAGACTTCATATCTACAAGGGGTCGCGGCAATCGGCAAAGCCAAGTGTCAGAGCCCTGTGCATGATGTGATGTAGAAGGACTGAAAGGTGGGCCAGTTGGTGATAGTACTTAAACATATTTTAACACAGCACACGACTACGCGGACATAAGAGTAGAAGGGACAGTGCTGCGGTTTGTGCCTTCTTTTCTTGTATCTGCGTAGTGGTACACTATGTTAAAACATGTGAAGGATGTGCACTCACACTCGTTGACAAAACGTAGCCAAGGCCGCGGCGTGCTTACACCATTCTCGGTGACCAGCCGCGATTGTGCACCTTGCTATAACAATGTGCAGCTAGTTCTACAGACTCACAAAATATGCAGAAATCATCTAGTAGCTCGAAGGGATGAGCAGATGCAAAAAGGGAGCAGAATGAAAGGAGCGAGATTTTTTCTTGCTTAGTTCGGACATCAATACCAACACAACGGATGCAAAAGTCATAGGATGCTCTTCGAATGATAGATCTAAAAGAACTACAATGTAAATGATGCATAAACCTGATGAAACTGATATCCTGAAGGCCGACATCCAAGTCGATGCTCTTCATCTGATGAACACACTTGCCAGTGAGATCAGAGGGCATCTTTGCAGACAGTTTGCAACCCAATGCCGTAACGATGGATTGCCGGCGTAATGATCATTGTCATAAAAAACACTGCCTTTACTTCAATTATTTTTCAGCGCATTAGGTTCCTCCAAGAAACCCACACAAGAACATGGGCTGCCAGTTAACGATGTTATTTCAATGAGCGCCCCCAACATGCTACGACGGGTTCATGCACCTTTCCGCTACTGGTGGCTCTGATTGTCCTAGCGCCACAGCGCCACCATACCAGCTGTTGAGGCTTATAGGCGCGACACTGCAGTTGGTGTGCTTCTTCTTCTGTACAAAATTTTTCGGCATTAACCAAATAAACATTAAATATTAATATATCTGAAATAATTTTTATTTTGGATATGTGACAAGACAAAGGCATTAGCTAACAATAACTCCATTCTACGCAAAAAGTAATTGTTTCAAATATTCTTTCTTTTCAAGGACTGTGACCGAATAGATTAACCTGACTAACACTCAAGTTACTCAATCTTCACTGTCTTCATTTGCAGCAAATATCTGTTAATTACTTTCCAATGTGAACATGATCTCGTTCACCTATGTATTTCTTTTTTGCCATGTTTAATGTACAGGATGTTTTGTGTGCGATCCGTATACGTAAGCACAATAGCACAAAGAATGTATTTTTCTTTTCATAACTTATTTATCTATATTGTATTTTTTAAAACAATGTTTACTACCCTTCGTTGTTTTGCTGTCTGAATGTTTTTTACCATAGCGGTGCATTTATGGGGATTGCAGTATCAGAATATATATATATATATATATATATATATATATATATATATATATATAAGGGAATCATTTTATCATGCTTTGCTCAGTGGCAAAAAAATACCATATAGCCTAATTCACACAGTCTGTGCTGCATGTATTAGATTCGCTTAGTTTACAGGCTCCGTCTAATTTTTCATCTCTCCTACCGAGTCGTGAAACGAAAATTCTATCATGGCGTTCGTCTGCATAAATACTCGTAAACACGCATGAAAGCTTGTCCTTCATAATAAAGCGCACTTAGAATTCTGGCAGAAAACAGTGCAATACCGCTATATTATTCTGGAAGTAGTATATGTATTGTATTTACTCCAATCTACCGCGCCCTCGGTTGTAATGCGCACTTGGTTTCCACGACGAAAAAAAAAAAAAGTAAGACATCGATTGCCACGCGCACCCATTTTTTTTTGTTGGCCCACATGATCACACTACTCGGGAAAACGACTCCTTTCGGGAGCGTCTCCTGTTTAAATATGAGGTACGGGGGAAGCTTGTGCCTATCTGACGTGCAAGGGAGCATTGCCGTCACTCTTGTTTTACCGTGGCCCGATGTAAGCATGCGAACTTGCTTCGCCCCCTTCTTCTCGACGGTTGTGGTGCCAGGCATGTCGAAGTAAAGAGGCATTTGATCGGCATTCCCGATTTGCCCAAGCAGGTAGCCGTTGTTGTGCCGCAAGTTTAGGACGAACCTGTGAAAACTGTGAAGCTTTCTTTAGTACTCCTCCAGCAAGTTTTGGGCCATGCCCGTTCGCTCTCGGAGGGAAAAGCCCTTCCTCTTCATAAAGTTAGTTAGCCACCAGCACCTGCTCACTTTGAACTGGCTCCGCGTTAGCCCTTTTTCTAATAGCCCGCACTTAGAGCAGTTCTGTCGTCACGGGCCGCTGTGCCGCTCGCTGCTCAAGCACATACTCAGCGAGCAGCTCTTCAATTTGCGGAAACTGACCATGCTATGGTCCACTGAAGCCTTTGCGTGAATCTTTGCTGTCGACAATCTTCTGCTTTTGTTTCCGCCAGTCCCGCACGCACGTTTTGGGAACTCCGAACGATCGCGATACGGCCCGATTTCCGTCTGTTTCGGCACACGCAATGACTTTTCTTTTAAAAGCGGCATCGTGGTGCACTCGTCAAGTTTTTGGAGTCGGCCCTTCCATGCCATAGATGCTAACCCACTACAAGAAGACAAACTCCTAAGCACACGTACGAAGTGCTGCACATGGGAAACACATAGGCAGAAATGGCCGACGCGCGATGCTGACGCAAGTAGGGGGCGGCCATTTTGGCAATGACGATGGCAATAGAATGATCGTATTCATTTTTTTTTCGTACTCGATTCTAACACGCATGCGATTTATGAACTCGCTTAACCCGAAAAAAGGTGCGCGTTAGATTCGAGTAATTTCAATAATTCTAGGACGAAAACTTAAGCCACAGGAGGACATAATATAGTTTCCTATCCCACCCAGAACTAATGATACATGCAGAAAACAACTCCCCAAAGGAAGGCACAAGTATTCTGAAAAAAAAAAAAAAAAAAAAACTTAGGAAGGAATAGATTTTTTATTTTTACCAAAGTGCAATATGGTGCGAGCTGGCACAACATAGCCCGATTTCAAAGAGCACAAGCAGCAAAATACACCAGGAAAATACAGTTGCCTTTGTGCATATTTTACTGGTGATTGGCATTTTCCACCCTTTTAATTCTAGTAATTTTTTAGCAGTTCGGAAGATGCAGCTTGTCCGTTTTTGTAGGCGGTCTCGATTGATTTAAATTCATCTTACTTCGAATTCATAGTGGAATCAAGTTGGAAAATGCCAAAGCACGAAATTTTTTTTATTTATTTGTTTTTCACTCGCACACACGTCAAATGCAACTGCTGCATTGATCAACACTACTACCACAATCATCAATGTTTGTGAAATATTGAAATTGTAAAAAAAAGCACTGTTGCACAAATGATATTGATTTCTTCAGCATTACAGAAGTTCAGATGAAAAAAAATGGCTTGATTTTAGTACAGTTATTGCCATTGGAAATGCTCAAATGAGACAATGTTGCAGACAAATCTTTGTTTGCTAGTAAAGCTAAAAAGAAGTTGTGCACAATAACATCAAGAATGGCCAGACCAAGAAAGTTATATTTATGAAGCTGAGGATACTTAATTACAGCAGCTCAGTATATTAGTTTCTGGCACACCATCTATATTTCATGCTGAGAAATTTCTTTTTTTTCTCTCTCTCTCCACTATAGTACTTCTAAAGAGGCTGTGATAAGTTCTCGATCACAGAAAGCTGCATCGTCACTGTTGTAATAAGCAGGAAACAAACATTTTTCTGGCGAGACAGGTTCTTAACATAGAAAGCTTTCCCACCGCTACAGAAAACTGCCAGGAAGTTGTATCTTTGGTAGTACGCGCTACATAATTTTGTGGAAGAAAGATTTGAAGATTTTTGCAACTAGCTTTTCCATAAATGAAGCTAGAACTTGCTTGAGTTGTTTGATGATGAGCGAAAAGGAGCATGATGCTGTCTAACGCAAAGTGGACGGCATGGTGCTGGCTCTCTTTTCTTTGAAGCATAGGTGAAAGGGAGCCGATTGCTACAAGGTGTTTTGAGACTTACATGAAGATGATTTATGCAACTCATAAATAACTAGAGGCGCTTCCTTGAAACTTAGGAGTGGGGTTGATTAAGCAAACATTTATGTTTGAAGCAGGCTTTGTGTTAACCAGTATACAGTCGAGCCCACATATAATGACCCCACTTAAAATTAACTTTTGCTTAAAACGAACATCCGCGTGACCGTGAAAACATACATTGGTTCAATGGCACAAAATCGCACTCACAATGAACGTCTCCGAGCGCCGCTGACCGGTTAAAGCGAACGAAGCCTGCGCTCTGCCGACTTCCCAGGAAACCACTTTCAACCACGAATCAGGCATCCGCGAGATGCCCATACATACTTATTGTTAAACACCGACCCTGCCTTTATGACCCTCTAGTTGCCGCTCTCCCCGACCGCTTTTTGTAACGCATCCCTTCATCCTTTGTCCCCTCCCTACTCTGAGCTCTCCGCATCGCCAGACGAGGCCTGTGTTTTCACACTGCCATCAATCTTTCGAAGACCGGTCGGCCATCTACCCTGTTTTGATCGCTGGTAGTCTTGTTGGCGTCGCCAGCCAGGAGTGACCAGACCATTTTCCAACATCCTCGTCCACCGACTGTATCCAACCGTCTGCGTCTAGTGCATGCACGTACGCTACCCCACCGACTCTGATAATTTGCGGTTCATTTCATGTTTAGGACTTGTTCTCGCTCACTTCGCACTCAGCTCAGCATGCCCTCCACAAGCGTGCGGAAGTGCAAAAACGGCTGTTAATTTGTACGGAACGAATCGGGAAATAAAGTTGGTGAGGCCACGCAAACCCGCCAGCGTGAGTTTCAAGTTCAAAAACTCATTATGAAGTTTTTCTAAGTGCGAGTTGCGCGTTTCATGGATTTGTCAACCAAGCTACCCTAGCTGCCTCCTTCCTGTGTGTTTTGGTTTTCAAGGTCGCCCTCCCGCCGCATCCTCCCCTCTCTTCAATCTATCGCAATTCCTTGCCCTTCTCTTGCAAATCTGCTCTCTTCTCTTGATCACAACCCCTTCGCCCATCTCCACTGCTCCGCGATGCCAGCCTCGCTGGCTCGAATCGGTTTCGTTTTCTGACTAGAAACGGGCCCAGAGCTGTTCCACGCGTTATGGCATGTGTGTCCCGTGTGCATGTCCGGCTCATTCTTGGTGTGCGTGTGTGGTCAGGATGGCAGACGTAAAGAACTTGCACGCTGTTTCCTGCCGCTCAACAAAACGTCGAAAGCGTGACGGCTTGGTTGGAGCGTAATCCGCGCGTTAGGTGCCGCATTGCGGAGCGCTTGCTTATAGCTGTTGACCACCTGGCAGCCAACTTGCCGCTTCGGGGGTCCCGTTATTCAGCTGTAGAGATAGTGAATATTTCGTGGGCGGCACTGACGGCTACATGCGCACAAAATTGTTTTTGCGAGGCCGACTTCGTCGACGTCAAGCCCGATGCCGAGTGTGAAGCTTTCGAACAGGACCACTGAGGTGGTGATTTGTGGCAGGGCGTCGTCGGCTTTGACATGGAAGATGGGTGGGACATCTGTTGCGATGGTTTAATTACGGTCGTTGATGATGCCCACACAGCAGAACCGTGCATAGGTTAGGGCATTGTGAATGAAGTACGTGGCGAGAGCAATTTGGAGGAATCAGATTGCAAGAACGACGAAACGTTAGAGCCAGTGCCTCATGCAGCTTATGCCACGGGCCTCGGAGAACGAGCATCTTGCCATTTCAAGTTAACTCGAGACTGCCCTTATCGCTTCTGCTCTTCTAAACACGTACATCACGGACTTCTTGGGCGAAAAATAGTTTGAGGTTTCACTCAAAACTTTATTAAAAGCTGTGTTTCATTCACTATGAACTTCGCGATACAGTGAACAGATGTCGCGTCAGGCTCAGGTTCATTATAAGCACGCTTAACTGTATACTTATAAAACATGACACTTTTGTCACAACTATGTTGTGCAGAAAATGCGTACCTGAGATGGCACATATAGGTACAGACGAGTAACCTCTCTTATTTCCTAATTTGTCTCATGAAATTATTCAACCGTATTTAGCCATACAATGAGCACTTACAGCTGAAAAATAGCGCCGTCAGGGCGACAATCTTGTGGAACTGCACATGCGAGTCGAGGGGTATGTACTGCTGCAAGGGCAGTTCTCGGATCTTGGTGATCAGGTTGCGGCACATGGTCAGCAGCAGGAGAGAGTAACAGAACGAGAGAGAGGCCGCCGATCCTCGAGTGATGGCGATGCCCACTCCCATCACGTGCCGCAGGTCCATGTGCTCCGACATGTAGCAGTAGTCTGCAAAAGCGCACGTGCAACCACAAATATCTCATTGATACATCATTATCATTCATCAATACTTCATGCCATCCGAGATTTCAAGGACATGTTGACAATATCAATGTCACTTGCGCTTTTGTAGCTGGCAGCCGCTGCTTCCAGCTGCTTTGATGCAAGAAGCTAGAAAAAGCGTAGCCTGCAAGACGTGCATTTTAAAACCGAAAACACCAAAAAATATGCCACGATGTTGCACATCTCGAAGGCGATGCTTTTCCGGCTAATGAGCCCTTGTGCACTAACTAACAAGGAAAGTAACGTGAACATTGCAAGAAGATCACCGAATCACTTCGCATTCTCATTTTCGTGTCATCAGCAATAGTTTTCCTTGAAAAACACTATGCCCGCACTTTCAAACCTGTAGACCGCACATCAGACATACCGGTGCACTTGCAAGCATCACGCAACGAAGCAGATCAGCGCGATGGAATAATACCACCTTTCGTCACCTGCGCACTCAAAGGAATCAAAACTTGTTAGAAGACGCTCGAAAATAGATGGATATTTGCTAGGAAATATTCACTTCCTGGCCTTCAGTGCAGCACAGCGTGCTATATAGCGGATGTCCCTCTGTGCCGGAGTTCGATATACGGATGCACTGGTTCGATACTTTTGCAAGAAAAATTTGATAGAATTTTTCAACTGTTGGACAAAGGCAATAATTCGATATATCTGACTTTGATATATACAGGAATGGCTTTATGTTAAAATTATAATAATGTTCAAAGAGTGCATATAAATGCTTTAGGGCATTATGCCTTCACAAAAAGGATAAAAAAAATTTTCTTACAGATAAACCTTTCGATGAATAATACAATTGTGAAGACGTAGAAGACAAACAAGTAGAACACATGTTGCCGGTTTTCCTCCAAAAAAGTGGTCACTTGGTTCCACTTCAGCACCGTCCATGACGGCGGATCTTCCGCTGGCTGGTTTATCTGGAAACTCGTCATTCTGCAAGAGACAGAAGGTGGAACAAATAATGAATGCCACAAAATCACTAGTTCATCATCATCAGTAGGAGCACACAAAGCAGCACAGTTTATGTCCAATACCACAAGAAGGCTTCTCTCATTGAAAGTAAATTTCGTTTGTACTACACAAGCTCTTTCCTTTTATTAATATTAGAAATAATTCTGCAGCTGTTTCTGTCACTGCTTCGCCCGAAGGAGTAGTGGAAGTTGTATTTTGTGATACATGTTATTTGAAACGATATCTAAGATAATCTTCAGATGGCCTGTAAATGTATCGTCATATGCCTTGCGAGATGTATCACTGTCTGTATTTGTGTTATGACAAATATTTGATCATGTATCTGCAGACAGACGATACTGCTTTTGTCCCACCACAGTGCGAAACAATAAACGTTCACTGAGCTCCACTTCAGCAGCTGATCCTGCTGCCACCAAGCCCTCTGGACGAAGCAAATCAGCAGCGATGCTAATCCATCTTTCCGTTAGTCTTTCAATGAGAGCAACGGAGTGTGGGCACTCGTGCTGAAATGCTTCTGAGCAAGAACCAAGCTCTTGTTTTCTGATTTTTCATTGTTGTTCTTTCCACTTTTGTCAGTGCCATGGCACCTCCTCGTAGCCCTTGTATTGTGCTTCGAATTCCAGGGCAGGCGTCTTCTTTGGCTCGAATTCCGATTCTGCTATTGTGCGGTTATCCAGGTTCACGTCTTTGATGCTTCAATGAAAAATGCCAGGCCTGCTCGAAATGCACAGCAAAGTCACAGTGAAAGCTAGAAGAGCCGCTTTTTATAGCCATTTCTAAACTCTCTATGGGTAACCGCTACGAGCACACTTGCTGGGTAACTACTATGCCATTAATAGTCATAATTTTTGGTAGTAGGCGAGTATTCACTATGCTATCCTTCGAAGAAATGGGGTGTCTACTAAACACTTGCACAAAATTTTGAGCCGATTATTGATGCAGTTGCTGACAACGTCGAGGAATTATGCCAGAAGTGGGTATGTGCCACTGTTAATAAGTGATCAAGAACAAGCTTTTGTAATGGGCTGGAGCATTGGACGACCCACTCGTTTTGCTATTCTCATTGTGTGACACCTTTAATACTAATATTAACACGATTCTTTTCCCGATGTCAAGCCTGCCTAAGGGAAGTTTGTGAACGACTCCTAAGCACCGGCATGGCTCAGTAGTAGAATACTGCGCTGGCACACAGCAGACCAGGGTTCAAACTCCTCTGTGTCCTTTGCGTTTTTTCCTTACCGAGTTTTTTTTCTTACTTCATGCGATAGTAGTTACGGAAACTGGCGGCAGACAACTATGGCACTGCGCGTGACCCGTGTTGTGATCTCATACAGCTTTTGCTGTAAAAGTCTGGCAAAAGCTAGAATGAGCTTCAGTTCCTTCGTGTGGTACAGTGTAGCATGCTAGAGCAGTGAAACAGCACTATAGGTTTCACACAATGTGAATTCCGCAACTAGTGAGTCGCTTAAAGCTTCTGACCTGTTAGAAAAAGTCTCAGCTATAATTCTTCATCACTGTCTGCCACAGCATCAACAATGTTGCGTGGCAAGCCAGTAGTGAGCTTATCCGCAGGAAGTGGAATGATGGCACAGTTAATACTGGCCTACTCTGTAAAACTGTGGTGATTTATGGCGCAGTACAGGTAAAGCCATCAGCACTATCAACACCAACCGTTTGACGCCTGGGATCTCCTTGTGTCGATTGACGTCAGCGCCGCCAAGCGTTGAACGCGGTATGTTTGTTGTAATTAATAATAAATTAAATGCGTGTCGATTTCACTATTAAATTTCTGTTTCACTTCTGCCTGACCGGCGGGTCGAAGCCACTAATTTGGCTGGTCCGTTTCCGCCACGTCTCGGACGTGGCTACACTCTAGAATGTGCCCTGTGAATTTATAGTTGTACGCTTATCTAAGCAACTAATATATTGTGTGCATTATCTCCCGCACCTTCAGAGCTCGAAATCACAAATTCCACTTCGAAGAAATGATACATTGAAAATAATAATGATATTTGTGGTTTTTTGTCCCAAAACCTCGATACGATTGTGAGAGACAAAGCAGAGGAGGGCTCCAGAAATTTTGACTATCTCGTATTATTTATTCGTGCACTGACATTGCACAGTCCACCGATCTATACCTTTTTGGCTCCATCAAAATGTAACCGCCCCGGCCGAAGTCGAAACGGTGACCTTTAGGTCCACAGCGAAGCACCCTGACCACTGTTCCACAGAGGTGGACGATGCATTGAAAAGCAGTGCGAACGATCGCTTATGGCGTTTGTGAAAATTGCTCAAAAAATAAATCAAGATTGCGGTAGTGCAATTCCAATTCATTAAATTTGAGACAGCATGAATCAATAAGTTCTGGTAATTTAGCCTCCACCGCCCTGTGTAGTTCATGCTTTTTCAGTTTTTTGGCGGCTTCAGTTTGAGTTCAGTTACTTTTGAGACAAAATGGTGATGAGCGCTTTTCTCTAATAACTATGCTGAAAATTGCTGTGCCTGTCCTTGCTGAGTCAGGATACTCGCAGATAATAAGCTCCAACAACACATCTTCAGTAGAACGTGAACTCAACAGGAAAGTGAACACTAAATAACCAGAATAGTCCTAATCATGCTGTCTGAAAATCAATAAATCGAAAATTGTACACCACCTCATTTTTTATTTAATTATTGCACAAATTTTACAGAAACTCCATAAATGTGCATTTGCTCTGCTATTTCAATACTTCATTTCTTCTGAGCTGAAGTTGTGATTTCAAACTAGAAAGATGCGGCAGATATCGCACACAATAGTTCGTTGATGAGATAAGCATACAACAACTAATTCACCGGGCGTGCTCGAGAGCGTCGTCACGTGAGAAATGCGACAAAAACAAACCAGCCAAGCACTTTCAGTGAAACAGAAATCTAATAGTGAAATCAATGCACGTTCTATCTATCGTTAGTTGCAACAAACATACCGTGTTCAAAGTTCGGCGGCACTCACGTGAGTCGCAATGGGGCGAAGACATGTGTTGAACGGTTTCTGTTAACAGTGCTGACGGCTGTACATCCAGCAGTTGACTGCCCCTTCTTGAGTTTTTGCTGCGACTCATAGCATGTTGCGTGCAGGCTGAGAGGCCAAAGTATCACCTGAAGTAATAAATAGGGTTATAAGGGTTTCATTATTGAAAGTTCACAGCACTGCTCACAGCCTTCAGTGCTTTGGTGGAAACAGACATTCGCACCCATTTCAACAGTGGCCAAGTTTTTCCCTGTAGATATGCGCACTTGTGCATTGTGAATGTTTATTACTAACAGGACTGTTATTACAATAGCTACAGACAAATGCTAGCATGAAGTAATTTAAACCACTGAAGCAGACTAGTGTTAAATAAAACGTGCACACATTCACAACCTGGAACTGACCTCGACACACGCCCACACTGTTAGTCGACGTTTTCTCGTACATTCTAAATGTACTTGTGCCGCTTTAAGAGTGGAGTTCTGTGAATCGAATCATTGCAGTATGCTTGTGCGTTCGTCAACAGTCTTCATTGTGTACTTCTAAATATTATCACCGAACTTCATCGTGTGGTGTTCCCACATTTTGGAGACCGGAATTCTTTTGCATACGGACCCCGATAAATACTTGGGAATCTGTAGAAATTAGGGGAGTTTGAGAAATGATATGTATATATATATTAGAAAATCGAATAATGCTCTAATTGATTTCTTACTCAAATCGAATCGCAAATTTTTTTTAATAATCAGCACTGGCAGAAAAACCCCAATGAAGCAACACATCCGAACTTCGAGGAAGCCCATTTCTGGTTTTTTACCGGGTTCAAGACACATGCAGCCCCACCGTCAAAGGGACAATAAATGCCGTGCTAATTACAAGTGACGGTTCTTCTATTTAAAACTCTAGTGGTAAGAAGCAAAAGTGTCTAGAATTTGCTATACTCAAAATGAAATTCATTATATTCATTCATAACATTGTTTAATTTTTGTTTCAATTTTATTTAAAAGGGGCGTCAATGTACAGCATTCAATGGTGATATAAACCTCGAATATCAATCCAGCATTACAACATATCTCGTAGGCTGTCACTGATTATGCAAGCTTACCTTAGTTTACGTAACTATGGAATTTGTTTTTGCAGTTAACATTAATCGTGATGTCTATTTGCCAATGTTCTTGTCTACTTATAGCAAACAAAATATTGTTGAATTATAGACGTGTTTTTCAAATGGTTACTGTACTATTTGAAAAATATTGCAATGATGTTGACTTTGTATTCGTATTCGAATCGTCATCCTGTCGGTTCGTATTCGGTTCGTGTTGGATTAGATTCTACAATTTACTATTCACACACCTGTAGCAGGAAATGTTTGATAAATGCGTTTGCAATATATATAGAAAGAATAGGTTCACCACACTAAGAGAAATGGCGGCTTGTTACCAAGAAAACATATGACAGAAACATACCATCGAGGAAGGGGAGCAATCCAAAACAATGCATAATGTTTTGGTTATGCATTGTTTTGCATAGTAAGCTATAGAAATAAAAATATAGATTCTTACCTTGCAACATTTGATGATGTATCCAGAAAGTTCTGATTAGCCCCTGTTAAAAAAAAAACATGTTGGAAAAGAGCTCAGCCTATTGGTAAGAAGAAATAGTCATTTTAAAAAAAGAATTAAATTCTGAATGAGTTTTGTCTATGTCTGAAAGTTATAGTGTACTGAGAAAATTTCAGGCTACGAAAGTTAGCACACGTTGGCCTATGAAGGCTAACGTGTGCTGAAAGTACTGAGCTGCTGGTCATTTTTCATGCGATACCCAAATTTGTTGCTATGAAATTTGTGGCTTCGCCCTGGTGGCGAAACTGACTTTTGTTTACAGAGAACAGGCAACGAGAATGACGGATTAGAATTTCGAAATCGAAAAGGCAATAATGACTCATTCAGCAGACGTGTGGCGACAAACATGAGCAAGACATCATCGTAGAGCCGCAAAACGTGGGATGGCGAGTGTCATGACATTTATGGAGAAACAGGGGCACTGAGCAACCCAACCACCTGTGGTGTGAAAATATTTCCCCAATCGATACTAAAGGATCAAAAATGTAATTTTTTCAGACCTCTGTTTGCTGATTTTCGAGCTCATCCAACCAGCAGCGAGAACGACACGATCCCGCTGCTGGCAGAAGCAGCTGGGCATCCTGCTACAATAGTAGCCACTATGTAGAGGGGCACATCTAAAGTGCAGCACCACTTATCTAGCATCACCACTCTCTAAGATTCATGCCATCACACGGAGGTTTTACACCGATTGGTTGATTTGTGAAGTTTAACGTTCCAAAACCACCATTTTATTATGAGAGACGCCGAAGTAGCGGGCTCTGGAAAGTTTGACCACGTGGTGTTCTTTAACGTGCAACCAAATCTGAGCACACATGCCTAGAGCATTTTCACTTTCATCAAAAATGCAGCCGCCACCGCTGCTGCAGCCAGGATTCGATCCCGTGACCTGCGAGTCAGCAGCCGAGTATTATAGCCACTAGACCACCGTGGCGGGGCAGAGGTTTTGCACTGTTTGATGGGAGTTTACACATTTGTAATCCAAGGTTTTGGTGCCTACACTTCTTTAAGCTGGAACTATTATGACTGCACTGCATTGCCTTATCATGGCTGTGCCAATAAGTTGACCTTTCGAATCAAAAATGAATTCATTGATACTTGACTATAGCAGTGATCTTAAAGGACTCTACTAAATATATGTGCCTGCTTTTGGAATGCCCAAGGCTGCAGAAGGGCAGCAAGCACACGGAGAAAAAACAAAATACAGCATGTTTCATTTCGTTGACTCTTTAGCACCGCACAATAAACAACATAGCGCGTCGCCAAGAAAGCAGCTTTTGCGAAATAGCACATAAACTTAGAATAAAACATTGATACAGAATGTCGCAGGGCTTATTACAATCTTTGTGGTGAAACAGTGACATTTTGCACAGTTTAGTTGCAATGAAAATATACTAGCGAATCTTCTCCAAGTACCAAAAGCTGAAACAAAAACTTTTCATCTCATCAAAACCAACTTATGAGTTAACTATATAATATATATAGGCATCTGATTGGTTTCGGCTTTCTTTTACTGCTTGTGCAGCTGTTTTGTACATGCCCTACAGAAAAAGGAATACATAAGGCTTTTTTTTACTTCTTTCAAGTCCAGTCATCGCCATCTCGCCCATGTGACGAAGTATATCACCGACGGAAGCCGATTGATATTCCGACCTCTGGAAATTTTGGCTCTGGAAATTCCAACCACCTGGGGTTCTTTAACGTGCACCCAAATATAAGAACATGGGCCTAGAGCATTTTTTCCTCCATCGAAAATGCAGCCCAGCCTGCGCAGCCAGGACCCGATCCATCGCCTGTGGGTCAGTTGCCGATCCATCGCCTGTGGGTCAGACCACTGCTGCGGGACCCCGACAGAAGCTCAAGAATGATGTCAATTTATCACCAAATGTTATGTTAATTATCACCAAATATTGCTGTGCCATACTTTAAATTTGTTTTCGACTTTTTTCACGAGCTGAAATGAAGTGTTCCGATCTATAGGAGCCAAATGCAAATTTTACTCCTGAATACTGACGACTGTGGGCTATGCAGATTTTAGCTGCAATATAGATTCGAAGCATACAGAGGACAAGAATGAACACACAAAAAATAGTTGAAGTAGGCCCAACCATATTTCCAGTAGTGAAAAAATGCTTTTTTCTCAGTTTCAACTGAAGTATGTGTGCTTGGCTGTTAAGTGAACGGTGCTTCCCAACAAAAGGCGCACTATTTCGGGAGTGTCACAGGCTTTTTCTTGCTCTTGGCATCTACTGCAAGTCTTGAGAAGTGCTACAGCCCCCCTTGATTTGAGCTGGGTTTATGACATTGCATTTATGATCACTTCTTCTTCAAGGAAGAGATCAGTGCCCAATATCTTCACTTCATTTACCTAGTATTTCAATTCTATTATCTCGTAGCGCTAGAAGGGCATGATATTGTAGCACCCTACTCGAAAAGAAACATTAAGATGCAAAAAAACAAAAGTCAGCTTCCTATTTTTTATATTTCAGTTTCACACAGCGGCATTAGGTCCTTCAGTAAGAACCAACTCCCTCTTGAAAAACTGATTATAAAACACAAACACTATAGCAAAACAACTGCAACACGGATGAAACAGGTGGGACGAAAGCATACTGGTTCTATTGGTGACGATTATTGACCCAGCATTGATTAAATGAATATGGTTCAGTCTGATAAAAACAGATTCAGCATTTGGCTAATTTACAATTAGAATCTGGCTTTTGTACTGCTGACTGGGGGAGTTGGTGCATGATAAAATTGTATTGCTTTAGCACAGCTCAGTTTGAGCATTCAGAAAAGATGAGATACGGCATTTTCGTGTTATTACAATCAGTATTCGCCATTTGAATCCAACGATTCTAGAAGATGAAGATGCTAAAGCGGCACTTTACACTGCTGTAAAATTTAGCCCAGTTTTAGTTTCTGCATTTGGCCTAAAGAAAAAAAATTGGCCCCGTATCTGCATGTAATCTGCAAATGTCGTCAAAAGATGATAGTCTTGCGTGTGGAGAGAGTGAACAAGACATTTATTTGATGTTCTGCGCAAGAAAATCGGTGAATGGTATTCCGGAAGTGCTGCGTTAAGAGTGCCTCGAGCGTGCAGCGGAGATGAACGAGCGCATCAAGTCACCTCACACGTGAGACATAAGCGCCATCTGGAAGTTGTCTTAGAAAACAAAACCCGTGGCTCTGAGACGGGTGTGCGCGCCCATCTCAGAGGTGATAAGGCGTAGAACGCAAGGCGACGGGTAAGTGCCACCGCTGTTTCGTTTTAGCAAAGCGTTAGAAACACTTGCCTTTCCGTGCAAGCGTTGCATGGTCAGCGCAGCGTGATAAGTGCTACGGTCCTTAAAATTACTTAGTATGCCTTTTCTAGTAAGAGACGCACAAGCAGAATGTATACTTGCTATGGTGCCCCAGACATGCGCAATAATTGCTTTTTAATTGACAATTGCACAAGCATGAACGCTCAACCTTGAGCAACATAGGTGGGCGCTGCGGACGGGGCCGACCGTTTTAAGTACCAAATGCCGTTAAGAGTGGACAAACAGACAAATGTACAGACCAACAGACAGACCAAAATTTTTGCGTCGAAATTCCCCAAGGTCTTTAAAAAATGAATTGCGCCGCACCGGTATTTGAACCACGGACCTTTTGCATGCGAGGCGGATGCTCTAACCACTACGCCATCGCCGCATCCTCGCCATCCTAAGCCATCGCGCATCCTCGCCCCTACACTATCGCCGATCCGGTGATGCGCCGCCATCGCCGCATTACAAGAAGGCGTTTGATTCAGTAGAAATACCAGCCGTCATGCCGACACTGCGGAATCAGGGCGTCAATGAAGTATATATAAACATCCTGGAAGAAATATACAGAGGATCAACTGCTACCAGATTGCTCCATAAAAAAAGCAACAGAATACCAATCAAGAAGGGTGTAAAGCAGGGGGATACAATCTCCCTAATGCTATTTACGGCGTGCTTACAGGAGGTTTTCAGAAGTCTAGAATGGGAACAGTTAGGAATAAGAGTTAACGAAAAGTACCTTAGTAACCTGCGCTTCGCCGATGACATTGCATTGCTTAGTAACTCAGGGGACGAATTGCAACTCATGATTATGGAGTTAGACAAGGAGAGCAGAAAGGTAGGTCCTAAAATTAATCTGCAAAAAACAAAAGTAATGTACAACAACCTCGGAAGAGAGCACTTCGAGATAGGTAATAGTGCACTGGAAGTTGTAAAAGACTATGTCTACTAAAGACAGGTAATAACCACGGAGCCGAACCACAAGATAGAAATAACTAGAAGGATAAGAATGGGGTGGAGCACATTTTGCAAGCACTCTCAAATTATGACAGGTAGATGGCCACTGTCCCTAAGGAGGAAGGTATATAACAGCTGCATCTTGCTGGTACTGAGCTACGGAGCAGAAACATGGAGACTTACAAAGAGGGTTCAGCTTAAATTGAGGACAATGCAGCGAGCAACGGAAAGGAAAATGGTAGGTGTAACCTTAAGAGACAAGACGAGAGCTGAGTGAATTAGGGAACAAACAGGGATTAAAGATATTATAGTTGGAATCAAGAAGAGGAAATGGACACGTGCCGGGCATGTAGCACATAGACAAGATAACCGCTGGTTATTAAAAGCAACTAACTGAATTCTCAGAGAAGGCAAGCGGGTTAGGGGGAGACTGAAGGTTAGGTGGGCAGATGAGATTAAGAAGCACGCGGGTATAAATTGGCAATAGCAAGCACAGCTGGCAAAACATGGGAGAGGCCTTTGTCCTGCAATGGACGTAGTCAGGCTGATGATGATGATTATGAAGACCTCATACTGCTGGGTGACCATGTCACGGCCCTTTCAGATGTCTTCATGCCATTCTAGAACATCTTGATCGCGAGCTTTTTCTCTGCACCCGCAGCACGTATAAACATCTGCTAGCACAATGGTCAGCAATTGTGAAACTAGAATGCACTTAAGCGTTTCAGTCACATACATGTACTCGAAAATATTCAGCGTTACATATGGACATGGATACTATTTTGCATTATCAATTTTGCTGCTGTATAGGAAATAATAAAAAATATTTCCATATTGCTCTGAAAAAAAAAAAATAATTTTTAATGTTTTCATTGCGTCCTTCTTTCGGAAAAGCTTTTTTTTTCTTCTGTTCTTTACTTCTGGTTTTGGTTGCATTTAGAGACAGAGTTCAGCTCCCCTAAAATGAAGCATGCCACACAAAGCCAACTCAGCGAAAAAAAGAACGCTGCACATAATTACGAATGGATAAGAAACTAACCTTTGCAGTCTAAGCCGATAGCAATGACGTCTCCACGATGCTCTTTCATCATTTTCTTGAAGTCTTCATAGCTGAGGGTGTCGGAGTTGTCGAGACCAGCCGACACGTACATGCTTCGTATAATGTCACTCGTCTCGTACTCGCTCAGAGAGTTCGTTTTCGCAATGTCTACGAGAGAGCGCAGCATGCGAGTAAGCTCCTGTTTCTGAATCATTCCGTCCCCGTGGTTGTCACACATGTCGAAGATGATTCGCAGCTTGTCCTCGCTTTTACCTGTAACCGATAGGTGTACAGTTCTCAATATACATTGCTCCCTTGCTCTGAGCACTCGAACTCTTGCCATAAAATTCAGAAAGATTCGCAACTTCTACTGATCTTTCTACTCTCTAGACAGACGAGCGAAAGGGCTTGCTCATGGCGTCTGTAAAAAAAGGAGTGAAGTTACCGTGTCACTACTATGCACTGTGGGAAAATTCTTTTATTTTTCCACCCATCAGAGTTTGAGGAGCTCTATAGACAACTTCGTACAGTCTAATATCTCCTGTGGTCCCTGAATAGACGAATGAACGATGAAACATACCTCGTTAATTTGTCACCACGATAACTTCTGACAAACAAAAACTCCGTGATAATAAATGCATCTATTTAGGCTCACACGTAGACTATTGGACAGGTACGGCATATTGAATTAGCTAGAGGTGGCACACTGCGACAATTCAATGAATACCTCTTTTAGCAGGCCACACAAAAAAAGGTAAATGATCGCAACTTGCTTTAAATGGGAGGGAAAGGAGCATGCATCTAACCGCACCCAATTATGACTCGTGCGAGGAAAGGAAAAAAGCTTCCCCGTAAGGGGAAACAAGAAATGGAAAAGAAACAAATATAGTCTAATATGCATAAACATCTTCATATTTCCGGCATGCTGCTCATACACAGAGAAGGACACACGAAAATAGCTCGAGGGAATACGCAGGACAAGTGCGAACTTTTAACTGCGACAGCTGTTTATTGCTGTAGTCCTGTGTATATGTGTGTGTTCTTTTTGTGCGTCCTGTGTGCTTGAGCAGCTCGCTGTAGCTATCGACAATGAACAGCCATGTAGCCCCAACTTAGGCTTTTCTAACTAACAGCTCGAACCAATTGCATACATGGCTGCTGCAATGAGCAAATGTACCTTCATGCATTTTATAGCTTGAACTCAAATTTTTTCGTGATAGCGAAAAATGCAGAAACCTCCACCTTAGCAGGTTAGCGTGCGAGAACGGGCAACCGCACCCTGTAGGTCAAACAGGGCTGCACTAGGAACCTTTGAAACTGTATCACGGTGTGATACAAGGTTCTCATGCAACAAACATTGGAAATAGAGATAAAAGATACTAGTGCAAGAATTGTGTTCGACACGATACTTGATAATTGTATCAGAAGATACTTCAATACATTCGTGAACTTCTTATAGATCCGCATAATGCAGTAGCAAACATTCATACATGTAATGGTCTGCTTGGAAATTGCCTAAATGTGTAACCAATGAAATGTGATTCAGTATCTGAAAGGTTGTCTCTCTTACTCAAAATTCATAAGTTTTCTAGCACAAGAACTCATTAGGGTTTGCTTAGATGTTAGGGTTGCTTAGGTCATTGTTCAGACAAGCTATCGTGTTGCCATTAAATCACAAGGCCGGCAATAAAAAGCCTCGGCCTGATTTTTTTTATGACACATTTTGTGTACGTAAAGCAATAACTTTGACAAATAAGCATGAAGTATTGTTGACTTTCCTGTTAAGGTAGAAGAATTAAAATTTTCATTTGCTATGAAACATTGCCTGAAATGGCTCTTTGGGGCTCTCATGACAAAACTGTCATTATTTTTCACATTCTGACCTGTTAGAGTAAATCGTTCGTTATTTGTATGCTCAATAATGTTGAATCAATATAAAGTTCAAACAATTTTTTTGCACACAGCAAGCACTTTTGGTGTCTGTCTGTCTGTCTATTTAGCCGCTTATGTCAGCAATAATCAGCCGGAAGTGTTCCTATAATTGCTATCACAATAAATGATTTTGAGAAGAGACTCGAGTAACGTTAGAAATCGGTGCGTAAAATGGCTTGTAAAATCAAACCCTAACAAATACAACCAATGCCTGTTTTTTGGCAGTACAGCAGCTCCCGAGCATACAACCCCGGTGGCATCCATCTTGACAACGGTGCAGAAATACCGGTACTCGGACGTCATCATTTCCCGCAGTTCAAATCGCAATGCTCGTAGCCACAACATAACGAGCAATGCTAACTGCAAATACGGTTCCATACGTCGTGACGTTACCAGAGCTCCACTTCTTGTCAAGAAGCTTCTTTAGAAAACTCTTGTGTGCTTGAAGTTGGAATGCCCTACTCTAATCTTGAACCCTGACCACGAGAACTTAATTAAATCTTTTGAACTATTTTAAAATAATGCTGCATGTTTTATTCTTCCTGATGATTACCGTACATTAAGCATATTAGCAATGAATCACCATTTGTCACGGCCACACTTACTACTACACAGCAAGTATTTCTCTCTTGGTCTCTTTCATGGAGATTTACCATAATAATATCTGGGTTTTGGGACCCGAAACTATATTATGATCATGAGAGATGCCATAGTAGTGGGCTCTGAAAATTTCGACCATCTGGTGTTAATGATTGTGCACTGACATCGCACAGTGCACGAGTCTCTGCCATTTCGGCTCCACCAAAATGCGACTGCCGTAGCAAAGATCGGAACCGCGACCTTTGGGGTCGCCAGTCGAGCATCTTAAACACAGGTCCGATGAGGTGGAGAAATGTTTACCATGATTCACCACTACCCAGTTAACTCATTACACCTTCCACATGCCATTCACTTTGAATTCATCATGAACACAAGGCTAAAAGTACTCCCGGCAACGCAAACACGTTTTCTAACTCCTTGCAACCAGTCACATTGAATGATTGGAACCAAAGACCTGGTGACATCGTTTTGATTTATTATCACTCCCTTTTTTGTCATTCTTTATCAGCTCACCTGCTCCGTGATAGCCCTTTCTAATTCCCAATTTTTAAACACTTGTCGAGATGTCGGTGTTGTTTTTTTTTCTCTCAATTTTTATGTAGCATTTATTTCATATTTATATGTTGCAGCTAGTACTATATAATTTGAGCCCATTCACTGTGTTAACATCTATTATTTACATTTTAGTTTTGTAGTGTTTCATCCCATAGATATATTTTTTTGTTAGTTTTATTTCATGTGTATGAAGTAAATTTTTTTTTGCAGTTTTCTAACGTATTAACTCGCTACCTTCAATAATGTTTCATTGAGTGAATGCAATATAAATAAAAAAATAAATAAAAATAATGAATGACAAACACTGTTGACCCGTGTGAGTGTGCTATTTACAATTGATTTATTACCCACTAAAGAAAAATTGGGGGACCCTTAAGCTTCGCCTTAGAGTACAACGCGATAGTGAAATCCGGCCCCTAGTACACCCTTCAACCGCTAAGTGCATACTTATTCATATGTTTTGTTACATACACACGTACGCACACAAACATGCACACAGTAGATTGGACCAGCGCGCGCTATTATCCCCTAATGGGCACATTTTCATCGTGACACCTGTCAAACAAAATGCGTTAAAGGGGCCCAGAAACACTTTTACAAGTAACCATGGAATAAATTCACTAAAAGAGCTTATTATCTCACGAATTCAATGCCGCAAAAATTTTAGTAATCCGCCCAGTGCGAGTGGAGTTACAAAGGTTTGTCGCATGCTGCAATTGCATTATCTCTTCTCTCATCCCGACGAAAGCGCTGGAAGCTAAGAGGGAAGGGTGGCAGGGCGAAGAAACTATGGCACCTCGTGACCTTGACCACTTTTTTTCTTCGAATGCATGGCTTTTTCTGTGTGACCGCGTGCAAGCGTGGACAAGTAGCGGCCTCTCGCGGCTATCTCGGTAACTTAATTTTTTGATCACAGACGCACAGACGATCTTCGCTCACAACCAACGGGGCCGAGGTCTGCGGCGGGATATTTGAGACACGAGATCTTTAACGCTGTCTCGTAAAAAGCTGCGTCGAAGTATGAACACAAGATTAGAGTCGAGACACCATACTTCCCTGTTGTGTTCGTGTTTGCACATCATGTCTTATATCATGAAGGCACATACCTACTAGCTGAGCTTTGACTTCTAAAAGATTATTGCTGTGAAATACTATTACCCGTATTTTTCGACTAGAGGGGCGTATGAAATTAAACACGCAAATCATTCAACCAACATTGGTATGTGAGCACAATAACGATTTAAGGCCAGCAAGTGAAGCCCTGTTTACAAAATAGTATGTTTATGAAACTTGCGTCGCAGCAATTTGTGCCCATGCAATAATGTATGCTGCGGACGCAGTCACGCTGTCTGCAAGTGCCACGGTTTGACAGAGGTTTTGTCATGTTCATGTGCGGATAAAGGCAGCATTAAAAGCCAATATTTGTCGCAGAAAAAGGCAGCTGTGCTTCTTAGCGTCATTTCATTTAAACTCGCCTCATCAGAGTAAAACTAGGATGTCTGATATTGCACATGCTAATTTTAAGCACACATTATGGTGCGTTAGAGCAAGAGCAGACTATGCACAGCAAGCAGTCCCAATGACTCGTGCACGCATAGTAATTACCAGACACTAGATTAACTCGATTTTGTGACTCAAGCGAAACTCAGATATATATTGCATGAACATAATAGCTGATTGTGTCTATGAAAAAAAAAGGTGTTTTCCTTTCCAATTAATTTAAATACGCGACCCTTTAATATTTCTTGTTGCACATCATGCTTTGCTGGTATGCTTAGAGCCACGGCTGTGTTTCTTTTTCTTGTGACCTGCTTCGTCTGCCTGAGACGGTTAAACATGCTATCACTAGCCTCAGGCCACACCCGTAGGTCTTTTGTGTTCTAATCAACACGAGTGTTTGAATACAGAGGGAATGACTAAGCGATTTGGTGGTCCCCTTTAGCTTAGGAGTACATTCTGGAACTTACACTACCGTACGTTATAGCACTGGAGTGGACATGATGAGACTGATGTGAATGCAAGTGCACTTAATTCTCATATCTGGTGCCATGTTTTTTTTTCCTTCACTGTGATGTAGACTTGCTTTGAAGGCATAGTGCGTGTGTGCTCTCCTAATATTGGCAGAAGACGACCAGACTAATCGCTATCATTGGACCTTGAGCGCATGGCTAAGCCCATGTCTGCCCAAGAAAGAGTTCAATGTTTACTGTTTCGTACTTAACTATTTTGTACCTGACTGTCAAAACTATGTCAGTGTCGCTGCACCAATGAAAAGTCAAATAACTAACCCCTTGTGAAAAGTACCACGGTGTCCAGGAATTCTTGAAAGCTGATTTGCCCGTCCTTGTCCTTGTCCACGCAGTTGAACATTTGCTTCACGAACAATGAGTCCGGCTTCATGCCGAGCGCATCGGCAAACTCTTGCTTCGACAGCGACGTTCGCATCACCATGATCACGTCATTGCCAACTTCCTCCAGTTTCCTTTTTTCGCCAGGCTTCAATCCGAATGTCTGCACCAAGGACCACGTAGAATCTACACGATCTTTGTCACTTGTTGCAGTCAGAAATTACATCGCCACTGCTAAAGCATTGAAATTGGTAGGAACAGACGATACTCAGAATCCTGCACACCATTTCATACAACATGGGAGTAAAGTAAACACACAAAATGATGCGACTAGAAAGGAGCCTTGAGTGGCACAAGCAAGTCAACTATTGTGCAGACGATCTGCGCAAGTGCACTGCCCATCAGAAGAAGACGTACTGCCACAAGGCATAAAAATTTGTTTCCTTTTTGCGCGACACCCCAGAAGTACCCCCGACGCTATCACTTGCTTTTTTTCCGATATCGTACACTTTCATGGGTTCTCTAGTCACCGAAATTAAAATCTTTCCCAAACTTCAAATACGAGTAAAATGTCATTGAGACCCATGTGTATTCCTTATACTAGAGAGAAATTTTTCCAAGACTTATAAAGCAAAAATCAGAAAGAGAGTAACGTGGTGAGCGTTTAATGCAAATGAAATAAAGTGGCAATTCTCATAGTTTTGCCAAAAATTAATTCATCTAACAGTGACTGACAGACAATTTTTTCAATGAGCTTTCTCAGAGTAGCTTCGCGATAAGTGATGGAGCCCACGTGTTTCACTCCAGCCGGATGTGTCCACTCACCAGCGCGTATGCTTCCCGAAAGAAGTGCTCGAGCCGCTTTTGGCGCTTCTCCTTTGTCTCAGCATTGGCCAGCATCGTGTCACGGGTCGTGTTGATCATCTCGAGCGTTTTCTTTCGGTTCACAAGGAAGCTTTCTAGTTTATTGAGGAACTTCTTGCGAGAGTGGACACTGTCAAACTGAAGAACCTGCAAGTAGGTTTACGCCGTAAATAGACATATTTAGCAACAGCGTATGTACGGACATATAAATATGTGTTTCTTCATTTAATGACAGATTACAATATGCGCGATTAAACACTGAATGAGTATTCTGATTGATTTCCTGAGATATTATAATACTAATGCTTCCGCAGGTATAATGAGTCACCCTTGCAATGCTTCAGCAAAATCTCTTGCCTCTTTTATAGCCTGCCGGCGGTGGTACGAGTGTCGATGATAGCATCTTAGTAAGCTATGTCTTACAAGTTTTCTGGGCCTCAATGCAGGTATTAAAGCTGCGTGGCGTAGTGAATTACAAAAACAAATTACAGCCGCTTGCAGGCCATTGAAATCGGAGTAAACCCCACAAGCCTCACATTTGTGGGGTGCTTGTAATGTTACGTGTAAATGCGTCGTTGTAGTGCTGCTAGAACATTGAACTGCTGGTAAGCCTTTTTAATGAGTGTGTCAATTTTCAATACATTTGTTCGTGTGATTGTCGATATATATATATATATATATATATATATATATATATATATATACATATATATATATATATATATATATGTGTGTGTGTGTGTGTGTCTTTTTTTATTACCTTAGCCTGCCTTATGATAAGGAAAATGAATAAATAAATATAAATGTAAACAAATAAGGTCCTGATTAATATATTTCTTTCATAGAAACAAATGAATTTCTTCAGTGTTTTCATTGTTCATCTCAAATAAATTTTCCCCATTTCCTTGTGCAATTAAGAGTACACTAAGTATGTTTGAAGTGAATTGACCTGGATTTTTTTTTTGGCGACATAACAAGATACTGTACAAAACTACTGGATGCCTCCTCCCCTTGTCCCCTTCCTCTTTCCTCAGTTCTTGCCTTCATATTATACATCCTCACACTGACTTGTCATGAATGCCAGGATTGCCAACTGCAGGGTAATTACCATTCTTCTGGGTTATTTTTGGAATCTTTTGGGCAGCATAGAGTATAGACAGTAATACATATTTTTCTCTCCCGATGGGTAATTTCTACTTTTACCTCGTCACTGATCAGCAAAAGGCATTGACAATTGACGTGACATCCTCAAGGGTGACATTCCTAAATACACCCAAAAACTAAATCTTTTTGTTTTAAATACTGCAAATGTCTTAATTCACATGATGCCAGCGTAGAACAGAAACAAAAGATAATACGCGAATCATTCAAGAGAGGGGCTCTCAGTGATATCGAAACGACAAAAAAACAAAAGCGGTTGTTTGGCCTTTGAGGTATAGTGCAAGTACCCATGCAAGTTTTTTTAATGAAAATGCCTCAGTGGATGAAAGAGTTGCGCCTTTACGACAGGGTGGTGACCTGTGCCTCATCATACGGATATGATCCTTACGATAGCAGTTATATAAACACTCTTGGTTGATTCCTGTCGCTGCCGTCATGCCATCACACACACACACTCATACACATATCTATGTATGTGTGTGTGTATATATATATATATATATATATATATATATATATATATATATATATATATGTGTGTGTGTGTGTGTGTGGGTGAAATGTGGGGAAAAAGATAAAAGATAATTTGACGTGGGCGGGAACCGAACCTGCCCACGGCAAGTTATCTTTTCCCCCACTTTTCTTTCTTTACATTTACAATACAATTCGGTCTAATACCTTCCCCTTTACTTTCCACGGCATTATCGTCTGTTAGATCACATTATTATTGTGTGAAACACGGAAAAATGACCCCCTAAGTATACGCTTCTTTCTTTAATTCATTAACGAGGGTCTCGTACTGGCAGACTTGGTGCCTTTATATAGTCAGCTACCAGCTTTCAATAAGTTCATGTGCTACGTGACACAAAACAGGCTCATAAAGAGTGAGCGACACTCGCTGCCATGGCTACTGGTGGCACTGACCGACACTCCAACGTTTAAATTCACATATATACCCAATAAAGCGGCTGGGGGATGGCCGCGGTGGTAGCTCAGTTGGTAGAGCATCGAACATGTTATTCAAAGATCGCAAGTTTGATTCCTGCCCACGGCAAGTTATCTTTTCAACCACTTTTCTTTCTTCACGTTTACATTACAATGAGGTCTAATCACTTCTCCTATACTTTCCATGGCATTATTGTCTGTTAGACCTCAATATTATTGTATGAAAAACGGAAAAACGAGCCCTTAAGTATACACTTCTTTCCTTAATATATATATTTATATATATATACATTGATGAAAACGTCGGAGTACATGGTGCTAGAACATTCATTGTGTGTCAAATACCTTCCTTCTAAGTATTCATTTTAAGGGCTCATTTTCTTTATTACACTCCATATTAATGGGAACTAACAGACAACGATGCCAGGGAAAGTATATATGTAGAACCAATTGTAATTTAAACTCGTAGAAAGAAAGTATACAAAGTGCATCCAAACCTGCGACCTTTGAATAATGCGTCCGATGCTCTACCACTAAGCTACAATTGCTGTCATCTCCCCATCCACATTATAGGGTATAAACTGAGCTGATATATCCTGTATATGCATATGCACTTCTTTCCTTAAGGATAATTTTGCAAGCCAGGCACTTCATTTTTGTTGAGGGATATTTAAGGGCGGATGTGCCTTTGACAACAAACTTTCTTGTTTCTGGTCGGATGATGATGAAACTTCGCACAGACACTAAGAATGGCCTAACCGTGCATCCATAAAAATTTCGAGGCGCTAGCACAAATACTTAATGAGAGACAAACTATCTTTTAATTGAACCTCGTGGAGGAGCTGGACGATTTATATATGACAAAAATAGCTGGGAGTTACTGTCATCATCATCAGCCTGACTACGTCCACTGCAGGACAAAGGCCTCTCCCATGTTCCACCAGTTAACTCGATCCTGTGCTTGCTGCTGCCAATTTATACCCCCCAAACTTCTTAATCTCATCTGCTCACCTAACCTTCTGTCTCCCCCTAGCCCGCTTGCCTTCTCTGGGAATCCAGTTAGTTACCCTTAATGACCAGTGGTTATCCTGTCTACGTGCTACATGCCCGGCCCATGTCCATTTTCTCTTCTTGATTTCAACTATGATATCCTTAACCCCCATTTGTTTCCTAATCCACTCTGCTCTCTTTTTTTCTCTTAAGGTTACACCTACCATTTTTATTTCCATTGCTCGCTGCGTCGTCTTCAATTTAAGCTGAGCCCTCTTTGTAAGTCTCCATGTTTCTGTTGCATAGCTAAGTACCGGCAAGATGCAGCTGTTATAGTACTATACCTTCCTCTTGAGGGATATTGGCAATGTACCAGTCATGATTTGAGAGTGCTTGCCAAATGTGCTCCACTGCATTCTTATTCTTCTAGTTACTTCAATCTCGTGGTTCGGCTCTGCGGTTATTACCTGCCCTATGTAGACATAGTCGTTTGCAACTTGAAGTGCACCATTACCTATCTTGAAGCGTTGCTCTCTTCCGAGGTTGTTGTACATTACTCTCGTTATCTGCAGCTTAATTTTAGGACCCACCTTTCTGCTCCTTGTCTAACTCTGTAATCATGAGTTGCAATTCGTCCTATGAGTTTCTCAGCAATGCAATGTGATCGGCAAAGCGCAGGTTACTAAGGTACTCTTCATTAACTCTTATACTGAACTGTTCCCATTCTAGGCCTCTGAAAACCTCGTGTAAGCACGCGGTAAATAGCATTGGTGAGATTGTATCCCCCTGCCTTACACCCGTCTTGATTGGTGTTCTGTTGCTTTTTTTATGAAGCAATCTGGTAGCAGTTGTTCCCCTGTAGGTTACTTCAAGGATGTTTATATGTACTTCATCGACACCCTGATTCCGCAGTGTCTGCATGACTGCTCATATTTATACTGATTCAAATGCCTTCTCGTAATCTATGAAGGCTATGTATAGTGGTTGGCTATATTCTGAGCATTTCTCTATTACCTGATTGACAGTATGAATGTGGCCGATTGTTGAGTAGCCTGTTCACAATCCTGTTTGTTCCTTTGGCTGATTGAATTCTAATGTTTTTTTTAACCCTGTCAGCAATTACCTTTGTAAATCGCTTGTATACTATGGAGAGCAAGCTGATTGACCTGTAATTCTTCAAGACCTTGTCAATTCCTTTCTTAAGTATTAAGATAATGTTAGCGTTCTTCCAAGACTCTGGTACTCTTCCCGTCAGGAGACACCTCGTAAACAGGGCGTCTAATTTTTCTAACACAATTTTTACTCCATTTTTCAGCAGATTTGATGTTCCCTGGTCCTCACCAGCAGTTTTGCCTTTTTGCATGCTCTCCAAAGCTTTTCTGACTTCTTCTATCATTACTGGTGGGGTGTTACCTGGGTTACTGCACATTCTTATATTAAGGTTGCAGTTGTCCTGGCTACTGTGGAGATCTCTGTAAAACTCCTCCCATATTTCAACTATCCTATCCATATTGGTCGTTATTTTTGCCTTCTTTGCCCCTTAGTGCATACATCCGATTTCTGCCCATCCCAAGTTTCCTCTTCACTGCTTTGACGGTTCCTCGGTTTTTCAGAGCGTGTTCAATTCTCTCCATGCTATACCTTCCTACATCGGATACCTTACGCTTATTAACCAACTCAGAAAGCTCTGCCAGTTCTATTTTGTCTGTTGTACTAGAGGCTTCCATGCTTTTGCGCTTTTTAATAAGGTTCTTCGTCTCCTGGGACAGCTTGCCAGTGTCCTGTCTAAGTACCGTGCCTCCAACTTCCACTGCACACTCTGTAATAGTACTCGTCAGATTATCATTCATTGCGTCAACGCTAAGGCTGGTTTCCTCGATAAGAGCCGAGTACCTGTCCTGAAATGAGACTCTGAATTCCTCTACTTTCCCTCTCAGTGCTTGCTCATTGATTGGCTTCTTGTGTATCAATTTCTGTCGTTCCTTCTTCAAGATTCAGCGAATTCAAGACCGTACCATTCTATGGTCACTGCATCATACCTTGCCAAGCAC